TCATGCAACATTGATGACAAAAAGCACGTACGAGAGTTTTAACTTGCGGACTGCAACGCCCGATGCGGCCGAAATATTGCAGTTGTGGGTGGCATCACAACCACATCGGGTCACTATGGCGGTGAGATTCTGTTTCACAGAAAAATTCCACAAAGTAACCGCAATTGGGCCGCATCGAGATCGGGGAACTAATCTATTTTTTTTAATTTCATTTTGAAAAATAATTCACACTGCTTTTCCCAGCATTACGCATGTCCACGGCCACTATAGCCTCAATCACAATAATTTGTGTATATAGATTATTCAATTTTATTAGATATACTGTTTTTTATATAACCTAAGTTTTATAGAGCCTTTTCTTTTAATTAAGAAGTTAGAGTTCATTGTTTTGAACAAAATCTTTCATTTTCTTACTTTTATGAAAGGGGGACAACAATATTACTAAATGAAAACTGATGAATAAAAGTAAGTCTAATTTAGAAAAGTTTCAAAAAGAGATTTATACAACTTTTATATCTTTCGTCACTCAATAACAGTTACTCAGCCGGCCTGATAGTCCCAAAACTTAACAATCACACAATCATAGCAGATAAGAAGAAGCAGATAGAAAGATAATAGATGAAAACCAAATCTAGTATACCGTGATGAACGTCGCTACTCTCCCTTGAGAGAGAACATCGGAAAACCTAATCTCTCTATCTCTGCGCCTCTATTCTCTAAAGCCTCAATCATTGGGGTTCCCGTAAGTTAGCCTCCTTTTATAGGAGAAGTTGGCTAACTTACGGGTTACAAAGAAGCTAACGGGCTGATACACATTTGTGGCCCGTATATTACACATTTAATTAATAACTACACAAATACAAAGATATTTAATTAGATTGGACACCATAAAATATTCTCAACAATCTCTCCCTTGGTGTTCAATCGTTTTGAATCAGCATTGCAGCACGAATATCTTTGTTTTTATTGTTATTGAGCTTCCTTCGTCTTTGAACTTGACTTCTTGAGAAGGCTTTATGAAGAAATCCTCGTAATCTCCCCTTTGATGTTTTCTTGGCAGTTTGATCTTTGATACTGGGGTTTGATGAATCTTTTTCTTGTAATCCTTGTCTTCCAGAAGTTGCTCTTGATCAGCTTGGATGAAGTCCGGTGATGCCTCTAGAATGAATGTGTTGATGATTATCAGGGGCGCACGAGATTCATCTTCAGGACACGAGTGTTTGACCTCTGTCTCCTCCACAATGTAGTCTTTTTGACAATTTGGAATGAATGCATTTGAGGAGAACTTGTCGGTGGCATAGCGGAACATAATGATGGTTGACTTGTGAGCGTAGCTGACCATTTGAGTTGCGGAGATAGTAGAGAGAGTAGGGGAGGAGAGAAGTATCCGAGAATGGTTTTTGAGAGTTAAACAGCATGTGGAACACTCTCCCCCTCATGACGGTCCGATGAATCGGGGCGTCATGCCTTTATTCTTTTATTTTGCGAAAAAAAACAGGAAAAACAAACAGAATGTAAAGAAAATAACGTAGCCCCCCGGGGTCGTGAAGACGCCTGTTATCATCACTATAGAGATAAACTCTTTAGCAATGGCCTGAAAATGTTGGTGATTCTTATGTTGCAACAGTAGGACTTCCTTCCAATCGTTGGTCTACATCTGTAATAGATGAGCCCTATGAAAGTTCTCGCGGGTCATGTAGACCTGCAACTGACTCAAAAAGTGTGTCTGTGTCCTAGAAAATTTCAAAACATTTGGGAGTGAGTAACTAGACACGACGTGATCAATGAAAGTTCAGTGGCATGGGGCTGAGGCCACTATAGTCAGTATCACTTGCCTCGGAAGGAGACAGTAACGAGAGATGCGGTTCCCCGTGAAGTATGATTAAACATCTCTCTGTTGGGAGACAAGTGAGTGGTCTTGGGTAGGGTTCAACATGCACTGTTGGACAAGATGCAGTGACTTCTACCCGGGATCTGATTAAATCAGTTCTGAACCTATTTGGGAACTGTCCAGAGTATTTGAGTGGCTAGAAGTAAATGTTTAATTGATAGCAGACAGTTGAGGTAGCAGACTCATCATTGATTATTGTTTTCCTTCTCACTTGAGCCTTCTGCTTCCTAACTCTCATAATGATTACTCACTCACTCACTCACTTACTCTCGACTTTGTCCCTTGAGTAGGCTTAGTTGGGGTTACTAAGCCATATGAACATGTTCTCTCATTGATTTTCTCTATGTACTCCCCCTCAACTGGAGCACTCAGTATGCTTTGTCATTGTTAGGCACCGGTGAGGATAACATTAAACACTCCCTCTAGAATGTTGCATCCGTTGAGAGATTCCTTGCTTTGTCGATGTAAGGCGCCAGGAGGAGAAAACTGAAACTCCCTCTCATAATGTGCAAGAATTGATTGCTCACAGCTCGTCAAACCCGCCACGCGTGTGGAGCAATTTGAACAAGTACCACACATGACAGTTTCCCTAAGCTCATAATTTGGAATTTCAGCATGTTTGAGGATCACAAAATGTTGATGAGTTGGGGGAGGCTTCAGTGGTTGATTGTTGATTGTTGTAAGATGACCGTTGACGCGAGGTTGATTGAATTATCTACGATTTTCGGACCTCTACAATGGTGTAGAGAAAAACTTTGACTCGAGTTTAAAACTCTCGAGTTCTAAAACTCTCGAGTTTAGGAATTCGAGATCCTAAATGTTGAGTTCTTGCAAAATGAAAACTTCGAATTTTGAGAATCTGAAAACTGTTCTGAATAGCCCTGAAGGTCGAGATTCCCCCTTTATCTGTTTCAAGTCGAAATCGTTTTTGCAGCCATGTAAAAGCATAAACTCGAAATTTCACGTAGAGTTCTTCGAAAATGAAAATTTGCAGAAATCGAAAACAAAGATATGCTGTAGAATCATTTTGAAGAGGCGATTCCAATAGTATAATTTTTACAGATTTTTGTTCAGAAACAAGAACACAGGAGCAAAACTCTACAATGAAGAAAAAGAGAAGAAAAGCAGAGCAGTTCTTCGTTAGATCCAAAAAATCGCAGATAGATTCAACCTGTTTCACGCCTCAGCTCTGATACCAAGTGATAGTCTCAAAACTTAACAATCACACAATCATAGCAGATAAGAAGCAGATAAAAAGATATTAGATGAAAACCAAATCTGGTATACCGTGATGAACGCCGCTGCTCTCCCTCGAGAGAGAGCAGCGGAAAACCTAATCTCTCTATCTCTGCGCCTCTATTCTGTAAAGCCTCGATCATTGGGGTTCCCGTAAGTTAGCCTCCTTTTATAGGAGAAATTGGCTAACTTACGGCTAATACACATTTGTGGCCCGTATATTACACGTTTAATTAATAACTACACAAATACAAAAATATTTAATTAGATTGGACACCATAAAATATTCTCAACACGGCCAGTGACCACCACTTGATAGTGAACACTGGCAAGTGGCCGCCCCTAGTGACCAATCGCCACTCGTCACTAACACATTGCCGCCCACATAGTGACTTGCCATCGAATGTTAGCGACATGCCGCCTCCAATGACCAAGCACTGCCTTGTCTAGCTAGTGACCATCATCCCCTCCGGCCTCCACAACCTCCTTACCCGCTATACCTCACCCTAAACCTTGCTCTCGCCCCATGCTTCTGCCCGAAAACCGACCCAACAACTTACCAACCATTCCCACCATCCCCTGCTCTCGCTTCTGCCCGCCCTCTCCGAAATCCATATCCCCATTTCTTGTGACCTTAAATGCGTCCCTTTCCCCACATGTCACCACAATTCCTCTTAAAACCCTAATTACTAGCCGTCATGGGTGAAGACGATGACGAGTATTATTTGTGTTAATCGCCATCAAATATGAAGTAGTGGAAGTAGTGACAACAAGCAAATGGATTTATGATTGCGACAATTCCGGTATGATTTGGTTCAGTTTGGACCTATTATTCTATTTTCCGAAAATATATTAATAAAGGGAAAACTGTCAAATAGGTTCTCGAACTTTCATAAAAAAATCAATTAAGTTCTTCTATAGGAGACTCTGTCCGGTCATCGTAATTTGGGGCGGTTCCCGATGGAATTTTTTGATGATTTTTTTGATCATCTTATTCATCAAGTCTAGTTTACTCATACCAAATTTCAGCTAAAAATTTAATCGGGAGCGCATTCAAATTAATTCGAGAACGTAAAAATGCACGCTTATCTTCAAGAATTAATTTGAACGTGTTCCCGATTGTATTTTTATCTGAAATTTGGTATGAGTAAACTAGACTTGATGAATAATATGCTCAAAAAATTTCATCAAAAAATTCAACAGGGAACTGCCCAAATCGCGATGGCCGGACAGAACCTCCTATAGAAGGACTTAATTGACCTTTTTATGAATGTTCGAGGACCCATTTGACAGTTTTCTCATTAATAAATGAACATTTTTGTTCAATTCGTTTTTCAATGGTTCCCATTTGGTTTGATTTATTTTGATTCAAAAGAAATATTACTAAACTCAAATAGAGATTTTGATTGAAAAAATTCCACTTTTGGTCCCATGATTATTATACCACTTCCACATTTAGTCACTTACTTTCAGATTGTCCACATTTAGTCCGTGACCATCATCACTCACCACCCCTCGTCATTCTGGCCAAAATTCCGGTAAATTTGATGTAGATTTTAAGTATGAAAAACAAAATTTAATGCAATGATTGATATGAAAAACCCATGATACAAAATTTAATGCACAGATTTATTCTGAGGCTAAGAAGTGAACTAAATTTGCCGAAATTTTGGCCGGAAGGACGAGGAGGTGGCGAGGAGATAATGGTCATGGATTAAATGTGGACAATGTGAAAGTAAGAGATTAAATGTGGAAGTGGTATAATAGTGATGAGACCAAAAGTGAAATTTTTTCATTTTGATTTCAATTCAATATATTTACTTGATACAATTAGATTCGAGGGTTATACATCTTCTAATTTTCATTTTTGACCCCGATTCTTTCAATGTCACCTTGTGTCCCCAAAACCCCACCATTGCCACCACGCTGAAGCAAACCCTAAATGAGAATGCATTGAATTTCTAGCATACTCTTAGAAATCCGTCTGGAAATCTTTATGGCAGCTCCTAATCACCAGCTGAACAAGATTTCCTCCGCCTTACCAGTACTCCCTCCGACGTTTCCTTCACATCATCCCACCAGAAAACGCCTTCCCGACGGATCCTCATCGAATTCGACGTCATTTGAATCAACCTCTTTGGATCAGTTATCCAAGAGAATAACCCGAGCCCTGCCCAATTTTTCAGACTGTCATGGTTGCCGGACTCGGGTCAACCACACAAAACCGAAGGATCGACTACAAACGCTAGATAGCTATTGGCGGATTGTCCTCCTCTGCAAGAAGTGCATCCATTTAGTCAACTGTGCACAGATATGTTCTTACTGCTTTAAAGAAACGGTGAACTTGGATTGTTTCTCATGCAGCCGCTGCGGAAGGTGCATCCATAAGAACTGCGTGGTTAGGTATGATAGTTCTAGCCCATGGTCTTATAGCTGTAAGGAGAGAGAAACAGTATTGGACTTCTCCGTTTGTGTAGATTGTTGGATTCCTAAGTTGCTTAAGAATTCAAACTCGTCTAGGAGTGTTGAGAAAGCATTGTCAAAATCCCGTGCTACTAGGAATAGCTCCAAGCCTTCTTTGAATGATTATGATGCTAATTTACTAACGTGTAAAAATGATTTGAAATCTGATGCCAATAAGAAGATTTTGTTTTCCGCAAAAGAAAAAGGGAAGGCCTTAAGAAGTGTGATGGATATGACACAGAGTTTGTCAGAACTGCCTGCTAATAATGAAGCAGATGATAACATAAACCAGGGGTTGATTGTAAGAAATAGTATAACTTGCAGCAGCTGCAGCAGTACAGATGCTGCTAGTGCGAGCAAGTACACGTACAATGCAGAGTTGGCTTTTGAATTGCATTGTTCCACAAATGGTTTTGCCCAGGTTTCAAAAGATTCACACTTGACAAACACAAACTATTTACCTGTTCTAAATGCTAGAGATTGCAACTATGTAGATAGTAAACCGGTAGAGTTAGAAAAAACTCCTAAGTATGGTGAAGGCAGGGAGATTGTGGTTTACAGAAGAAGACTGCGAGAAAAATGTGATCTCAGCATTTCAGAAGGTTCAGTTTGTGCTATGGACAAAGACAATAGTTCATTTGATTCGGGAAGACATGAACTGAGAACCTACAAGCGTACTAGGCTCAAGAGGAAAGAACTCCAAGAAAATGAAAGGAATGATTTATTCTTCCGTGTGGATGGAATGTGCAATTCTGACTATGACAGTAGAGTTGTTTTGGAAGCTCAGTCTATTCCGCCAGATTATTTGACTAAAGAGTCACATCTGTATCAAGTTAGCATTCCATCCCCAGCCCAATGTGATGGAGTTGTTACCTTGCAGACTGACAAGGAGGGCCATTACATGTTAAAGTACTCCCGAAGGTGTATGTCTTCAAAACCTGGGTTAGATGATGCAGTGAAATGCTACGAAAAGGTTTCCTCTCAGAGTGACAAGGAGGACCGTTACATGATAACATACTTCCGAAGGTGTATACCTGCGAAGCCTAAGTTAGACAATCAAGTAAAGTGCGATGGAAAGGTTATCTTGCAGAGTGACAAGGAGGACCGTTACATGTTAAAATACTCCCGAAGATGCTTAACCTCAAAACCAGGGTTATATGATGATGAAGTAAAGTGTGATGGAAAGGTTACCCCGCAGAACGAGAGCTGCAATGGTAAGGACTACTACAAATTCAAATATTCCAGGAGGCACAGAGGTAATCCATTGTATCACGAGTTACCTTTGAGTGAAGTGATAGTCCCATGCCAGGTGGAGTGTGATGTCAAGGTTACTTCACAGTACGAGAGCTGCAATGCAGGGGATGACCGCTACTCCCTAAAATACTCCAAGAGGTGCATAGACAAGGCTAACTTGCGGAAAGATACAAATAATATGGACAGCCATTACTTGATAAAATACTCCAAGAGGCATGCTTGCTCTAAGGAGGGGTTGGATCATAATATCAGTATGTGTGATGCTTTGGTTCTTGCAGAATATGACCCTTGATCACGTACAAGTCGTTTGCAGAACCCAGGACGTCGTCTAATGCTTCAATGATATCCTCTTGGTGTATATTCTTGAGTTCGTAGTAACATTTTTTCCCTGAGAATGTCTAAGTAAATAGGTAAATAGTTCTTGCTTCTCATATAATATCTTGTTGTTGTTGTAATAAGCTTTAGGTGCGATAGTATATGCGCTCCGAAGTGTTGATATTCATTTAAGGTTGTTTATCAAGCTGCAAATTTCTATATAGGTATATTAGAGGGGCATTGTATGTTCATTAGGAGAAAGGGGTGAACCTAACTTTAGACTGTGTATATTGAGAAAAGTGACTGGATTCTAAACAGTTTAAGTGTAATTTAATCTACGAAAGATCACGAGAAGATGAGTTTCTCCACCCCCAGCCAATAATAAAGGAATAAAAGAATCCCCTTGACTAAAACCACACCTAGCCGAGACGCATGGACAGGTTTGTCATTAGTATACAATGAACCATTTTTTTAAATGCTGAGATATAGATTGCATTGATTTTCTTCTTAATGGATAAAAAAGGAAATGAATAAGGATGAACAGGCTTTATTATTCACTCTTGTTGCATCTGGTATATAACTCATTTACTTATTGAAGAGGGTATGCTTTATATGCTACTCTAGTTGGTGTTTTCGAAGTACTAACTGCTCAGCAGTGTAGTATGCATCAAACCTTACTTGGAATCATGGTTTGATGAAATTCCTTTAACAAGGACAATCATAGCTTGCTACTCTGATCTGAACTTCTGCATATGTTTTGAACAAGAGATTTAGGGCAGAGAGATTGTGGAAAGTGTTAAGCTGAAATGATGTATAAGAGGACAATCATAGCTTGCTACTCTGATCTGAACTTCTGCATATGTTTTGAACAAGAGATTTAGGGCAGAGAGATTGTGGAAAGTGTTAAGCTGAAATGATGTATAAGAGGATAATGTTGGATAATAAAAAGTGAGTGGAGTTTGAATTATGAAGGTAAATATAATATGGGATGGACTAAAAAGCTGTGTATCTAACATAAATGAGACACATTGAGAGTATTTTCTTTGTTTACCATGTATATCTTTATATATTTTTGTTTTCCATATATCCTCAACTGTCAAATCTCAAAATATAATAAAAATAAGTTGACAAAATAAAAATCACCACTCCCTTTAAGTCACTTGGGAAATCCCCCAAACAAACAATGGCTTAGAGATTGGTACAATAAAGGACCTCATAGAGATGAATGCTTCAAAGAACTAAATAAACATTTTCTTTTTATTCTTGCAGTAACAGATCTTGTTCTTGTACAGACTTCTAATTTCATGTTGAGTTGCTGTTTTATGTCTTTTCTGTTTATTGTGCATGACTGCTTATTAATACAATGCATTGGCATCAGAGGGTTATTGATTTTATCAAATTGTATAATTGGATTATTTATTATCATTGTGTGTAAAATAGAAGTAATACACTGATACATAATGTGTTAAATTTGTGTACTGTGTTTAACATTGTCATTACTTGTGAATGAAGTGAAGAAAGTATTTTGTTGGTAAGAGTTTCATATCAGCTAAAAAGCAAGGTAATATGATTTTGCAGACTCCTAGTCCTAGGAGGCTAGGATGCTCAAGTGAGCTACAAACGAGATATTTTCTTGAAATATTGGACTTCTACATACATACTTCATTTATATATGCACATATTAACTACAAGTCTACAACGTTTGAAACTAAGTCCTATGGATAGGTACTCTTTCATTAAAACAATGCCCACACACACATACATGATACATATAATCAAATTCATTTATATGTGCACATATTTCTTTTAAGCTGAATAAGGTGTGACGTGGTGGGAAGTTGGGAAGGGTCGAAGGGATGCCTTTGTGTTCGACTCAACTGTTCGTTGTAAGGCATGACAGTGATGACACCACTAAACTGTTTTTAATGACAAGCTTCATGAAGATATGTGTGTAATGCCATCTAAAGGCTTTATGGTATGTTCGGGCCTTCGAGGTCTTTGGAATTGCTAGGTAAGGGAATTGAGGGTCATATACAGTATATGTTTTTGTTTTGGTTTTATCACAAAAAAGCAATAGCTTCCCTTTTATATCATCTCTCAAAAGTACTTTTTCACTGCAACTGATTTTTATCAAACAGCACCCTTAATTTTAATTTTAGTCGAACTAACCACACCTCACAATGGCCTGGGGGATTCCTGTCATGATGAAACTTATTTCCATTTCAACATGATATATGGAATTCAAGATTCAAAAAGAAGTTTCCAGGAATTGGATAAGGAAAAAATGCAGATTGTTTTAATTCTTATAGCCTTCTTCAATCAGGATGCCTAAAAACATGTTGTGAGACACTTTTTCAATTCTTTGTTGGGGGACATATTGGGTCTTTGCAATCATTATTAAAATTGCAACAAGAAATAAACCAAGTAGACTCTAATGTCTTGTTTTCTCTACTAAATTTACCCCTACTTGTGAGTTGTGACTCTTCTTCTACGAGTTCTACTCGCCTGCTACAATCACAAACCATCATTTCATCATTTTCATGAGTATCTACTATCTAATAACATGATCAAATTTTAATTTTTCAATGTTGCTGCATAGGAAACTATTGAACATAAGCAATACTTAACCGTTTTGCCTTTCTTCGCTATGTTTGTGTTTCACAATCTGAATAAAAAATGATAATTATAGGCTGCCAAAGTGCCACTAGATGTTTATTTTTATTATAATGGTCAGGATGGTAATATGGTATGACTTGGATACATTTTAATCTCACAGCCGCCCAAACAAAATACCGTCAGATTCCATCATACTCCTTCCACATTTTCCTACATTTTCCTTTTTGAACTGTATTTAAAAGATCCCTACACTTCCATTTTTGGTATGTTACCCTTTATAAAATACTCAAGTATCCTTACTCTTATCTACTTTTAATATTCTCTTTCACACTTTTACACCCCTCTCATACTTTTTATACACTATTCACTACCCCTACTACTTTACTCCCTAAAAAATGTGTCCAATCTAATGTATTGAACATTAAAATAGGGAGGGAGTATCTAAATAGACTACAGACTTAAACATACCTTATCAAATCTGATGTAAATAATACAAAGTAATAAATACGGCTAATAACAGACCTTACCAAATTAAATCATATCATATACAATCGAATTTAAATAAACTAGTTTACACCAAACCCGGTTTAAAAAGGTAGGTTAGGAGCTCGTTCGGTAACACTGAAATTGACTGGTTTTTATGTGGACTTGTCTCGGGAAAAGGGTGTTTTATGTGGACTGGTTTTAGTACTAAATTAGATCCAGCTTAAACAAATAAGATGAGATTAGATCAGATAAGACTTTAATGTTGCAAAGTATACACAGTACACGCATCCATCAGACTTGGCTGGACTAGACAATAAAATTCAAGTCCGACAACATTAGAAAGCTTTTCTTTTTTGGGAAAATTACTATTAACCCCTTGTGGTTATGTCATAATTATTAATGCAACCTTGATGATGAGTTCACACATGCTGTAATGGATGTAAATATTACAACGTTGACATTGATGATGCGGTAATTGATATTAATATGAAGGACGTAATATTGAAGATGGTCTAACACACATAACATCCAAATCAAAGTTATACAAAAAACGTTTTTGTTATTTACACCGATAGCGAGCGGCGGTTGCATGTTGAATTATGTGTGGAAAAGTATAGTGTTGATTTTAAGTATCTCACACTTTAAACTATTTTTGGAAAGTGCCCTCATTAAAATTCTTTATTGACCCGTTCAACAATTTAGCAATTACTTTTTGTATTGTTATTACTGAATATCTAAATTATACAAAAATGCTAATCATATCTCTCCCTTTTATTTGACAATAAAATTCGTTGGAAAGGGTTTTGCGCGTTATTAATTATAACACAAGAGAGTTTGATGCATTTTTAAATAACAGGAGTCTAATATGCATTGAATTTCTATATCATAAGAGGGTTTGGTGCATTATGTCAATTATTTAATATGTAAAATTAAGGTTAATTTTTTACTATAGTTATTCTGGGTGATCGTTTTCACTATTTCCATGTAACTTTTTCTTTACTTTATTGATACAACATATGTATTTTAAATATAATTTTGTATAATTCAGCATATTCATCTAATTCAACCGCTTTAATCTAAAATTCAGCTAATTCAACCTAAGCTTCTGGATTAGTAAAAAATAAATTGTAAAATACGGAGTAAGTAAGAATAACCTTTCCGGAAAACACCCTAATTAAATTTTGTGTGCACAGAATTTTGTGACCCACATCGTGGATCCGGAATCCCAATAAACTAGTAGGATGGCCAATTCAAGCAAAGTATATATTTCCATGTTTCACTGTAAATATAAAGATGAAGCCGATCGAGCTTTGATTTCTGGCCTGGTCAAGCTAGGATCGATGGCGATAAAGATTTTATTTGTTTGTCGGGGAGATGATCGAGCCGAAAGGTTGCCGACGGTAGGAAAAGTTAGTAGCAGTGTATGTGGGGACTGAGGAGCCAGAGAAAGTGACCGACGCGAGAGTGCTTAGGGGGCGATGAAACTTTACGACAAAGTAAAAGCCCAACTTTGCCCTGACCGGATTGAGTTTGATTTGTTCATCAAGTGTATTTGATTTTCATCCAATGTTTAAATTTGGTCTCATGATCTTGTTCACCAATCATGTTGGAACACATATTTGTACATACATACTTTGCGTACACTCCCAATTGTCTGCCTATACAAGCAATCGGAAGCTGCATTGTAGAGAGAACTAGAGAGCATACATAAAAGTGTACAAAATATATATAGTGAATGATTCTAGTTTGTTTGAGTTTAATACATGTCACGCATAAAACTCTACATAAAAACTTTTCACATTGCTTTTTTCAGGTTATCACTATCGCTCTGTAGAGTGGACCATATGCATGGAATTTTGGGTCCATGTATAGTTATGGTTTCTGCGTCAAATTTGATTATAATATTACCGATTGCATTTACATGTAACTATAATTCTACTTTGTTTCATTTCAGAATTAATATCTCGAAATGCAATAATATCAATACTAATGTATTATGTATATACTCGTACAATTTATGCATATTATTAAGTGAATACTCCCTCCGTTCCAATTGATTTGTAAAGTCAACATTTTTTGATCAATCAGTGTTAAAGTTAAATCTCCTTATTAATAATTAACTCAATTTTAATAATTAAAATTTAGATATTCAGAAAATTACATTAAAATATGTACAAAGGTTCAAAATCAAAATTAGAATATAAATAAAAACTGGCATTTTATGAAGTGAATAAAATGAAAGTATTTGATAAAAAAACTGACTTTGCAAATCGATTTGGGAATATAAGAGTATCTACTTGGTGCCTAATAATCTTCGTCGAATCTAAAGTTCAACTGCATATCGTGCGGCCGCATTTAAATTCATTGTCATTTTCGCTTCAATTTTGACAATCTTTGCATTAGCCTTTTCAAATTCTCATCATTTTTAAAGAAATTACTAAAACATCATATACGCAGTGTAATACAAACTTGGGCGTAATTTTATTTTAAAAAAGAATAAGTTTCACCCTTGGTGCTTTGAATTTTATGTCAATCAACATTTAGTCTATATCTTAATTTTGTTCATTTTTTTTACTTGATTATTGATTTTCGCCCATATACGATCCATCCTCCCGTCAATATTTTTGATAAAAAAATTTAGTCAAATATCAAAAGTGGACAAATAAAAGATATGAATTAAATATGAAATTCACATAAACCTCATAAGACCAAAAGTGAAAAGAACTCGTCTTAAGGCATGTGTCCTTAGACCTTCTTATCCCATTTAAGTGCCGGGATTGAGTGTGGAATGTGTAAGGGAAATTTAGAAGAAATAATGGGAGAGCGTAATTTGAGAAATTAAAATGGGCAAATATAATTTGACTTCAAAAGGAAAAATAAAGGCATTGGATGAGAAGTTACTCAACATATATAATCCTATTCTCACAAGTACCTAATCTATGCCACTCGTGTGGGTAAATCCTTGAAGATGGGGTAATTATGTATAATTGGTCTTCAATTTCAAATTTACACATCATATCTACACCACACATATATCCGAAACAGTTTGACTTTGAATGGATCTTTGATTTTGAAAATGGAAAGGGTTTAATGTCATCTTTATTTAGAAAGCCAAAAACATAGGAATTGAATTTAAGTTTTTTTGCTTAAAAGCAACGGCCAAAAATATACGGAGTAATTCACCTACCTATAATCAAGTATTCCAGTCTAGCTGGTTGTGAGATTACCGTGTTTAATGGAAGGTCTTGAATTCGAACCCGCTAGGCACATAAGAGTTTGAAACTCAATGAAGTGAGTTTCAGTCTGATTTACTTCAGACCCCCAGCCCCCCTCCTCCAGACCTCCTGGAGTAAAAAAAATCACCTGCCTATATCAAGGGTAGTAGATTATTATTGTTTTCACCCAAACTTAATTCCCATTTTTAATAATTAATAATTACTATTAATATGATTATTAATTGTTACTTTAAATATGGTGACCAAAGATTGCCTTTTTTATGAGCATGCATGGCTATTATTTGTTTTGACCGGTCATACGACCTATAAATGCATTTTTGTGGGATAGTAGAGAAGTCCAAATCAGCTCAGTTTAATTGCTCATCATATTGAAAAGACCAATTATATTCTTTTGTTTTTCTATCTCATTGGGCAGTCCGGCGGCCGGCGCGACGGTTAGATATATGGGTCTTCTCGTATGTCGAGCCTTTCTTTCTCTTCTTATCGGCGCTGCCAGTGTTGTTTACGGCTTCCCTGATGAAGATTTGGTGGTGGGATTGCCGGGACAGCCGAATGTGACTTTCCGGCAGTACGCCGGCTACGTAGATACCGACGAGAAGGCCGGGCGGAGCTTGTTTTACTACTTTGTGGAAGCTGAAAAGGAGGCGCATCATCTTCCCCTTACTCTTTGGTTAAATGGAGGTATGTAGTTTAATTTCATGATTGAATCCAAATTTTAGTTACTTAGAGTGCTTCCTAATAAATCTTTTCACTTCATAAAATCTTATATATATATAACTATAAATTATTTATTCAAATATCTTTTGAGAACAAAATGATGTTGATGTTGTTGTATATAACTTTTAATTTCATACGTTGAATTATATAATAATAAAAAAAGTATTCGAGTTCTCTTCCCATTTGAATTGAATAAAATTACTGCAAATAATCATTTTAACATTTTTTATATAGCTTTTTCTTAATTTTAATAATAAGATGTTCTCTAAATGTAATTTTTCAATAATTGAGTAATTGAATAACTTTAATAATGTTTTTTTTTAAATTGAACAAACTAACCCGATTTACTCGATCAAATATTCAAGAGTTCTTGAGGAAGCAGTTCAGCCCAACTCACTACAAAAAAAACTACGGGATTGACATAGATTTTGGCAGGGATTTGGCAGGGATTTTGGCAGGGAAATACCAAATCTGTGCCAAAAACACTTTGGCATGTGCTATTTGGCACGAAAAATCGGTAAGTCTGTGTGAAATTCCGTGTCAATCCCGTAATTTTTTTGTAGTGGCTTGTCGTCGACTTACTCTCCCTTACGAAAGGTCTCGAGTTTGAAACTCAATGGAATGAGTTTCAGTCTAGATTACTCCAGGCTCCCCCAACCCCCTCCCCCCAACATCCCTTGGAGTAAAAAAAATAATATTCAAGAGTTCTTATAATTTTCATCATTTTCCCTTCTAGATGATTCATTACATGAATAGAAAACCCGGGGTAATTATGGTGACGATACTCCTACTCAACTCCTCAAGTATTCAACGTCCTAACCGGAAAGTCATAAACTCAATACGTTACAATTTGATATTTAGAGGAATTGAACAAGACATTAATTGGACTGCTTTATAATTTACATTAAAGAATTGTCATTTACTGTCTTTGTTACTATTATGGGATTTTTTTTCTTAAATACTAACTATCACTAAAAAAGTCATGGACAAAAATATTACACCCTCCGTGACGAAAAAGTTCATCAAATTGATTTTTCTTGGTTAATGATAATCAATTTTGATCAACGATATTTTTTAATACAAATTATTTTGAATATAAAAATTATATCAAAATGTTCCTTGTTCAAAATATTTTCATAAAAGTATAAAACTTATATATTTTATTCATTTATAATAATTAAAATTATTGTTTAAAGTTTGATACCATTGACTAAGGAAAGTCAATATGACGAATCATTTCGTGGCGGAGGTGGTACTTAGTAACTACTCCGTTTTAATTACCATAATTGTGTCCAAACTTACATTGTAGTATTTACATGTAAGTTACTACCCGGGACGAACGTATGTGTATGGGTAGGGGGGCCTCCCCCCCTCCATTTTTATTTTATTTATAAATAGTACTACTATTTGATATGAAATTAAATGATCAGAAATGGTCGAGTCAAAATTACTTGACAGAAGCCTCAATTTGAGATGCTTACATGTAGAATTTTTTGATGAAATTTTGTTACCATATTTTTCATTAACGGTAGATTATACATACAAAGTTTTAGCTTAAAATTCAGTGAGGGAGTCAATTAAATAAAATATGGAAAAACATCGCGTTGTTTTATATATAAATTTTGTTACAATATTTTTCAATAGTTTATTTATTTGACATTCGAATTGAGTTTTAAACTAAAATTTGGTGTAAACAATCTACACATCATGAAAAATACTCTCACAAAATTTGAAAAAAAAAACATCTCGAAACACCTCAAACATAGGCGTCGAGATGGTGGGTCTTATCAGTAATTTTGACAGGATCATTGCTTATGAAAATATTACATATATATGATTAAAAATAGTACATAATATGTTTTATTTGTCAAATAAAACAGAGCGGTTCTTGTCAAATGAGTACTACACATGTTTTATATATGAAAAAATTTCCGCTACCAAGGACATTTCTTTCTTTATTGTTTGTCTTCCTTCTTGGCCCTCCTATAACTAAATTCTGGCTCCGTCCCTAATTACTGTGTCGTAAACTTTGAACACAAGTATAATCACTGATAGTTAATAAGCAATATTTTTTTCCATCACATTTTAAAGAGTAATATTAATAGAATTTTTTGAATTTACTTTAGACACGTATTTCAATTTTAGTTGTCAAGAAACCAAATTTTGACTAATATAATCCTACATATATTTGGATAAAAGAAAAATATAAATTAAAAATGTAGGCTTGAGATAGACTCTAATTTAAATTTGGTTGTCCATTTAAATAACAAAATTGTTGTTAGGTTTATTTATCTTTCTTCAAAACAAGTCTTTATGAAATAAGTTTCAATTTTTTTTACTTAGCACTTAAATTTGATCCATCTGGGTGAGATAAATGATGAAGCATGTCATTTAATCAGAGAAAGTTTTCTAAATAAGAGTAAAATATAACACATTTCCTCTAAGAGGAATGTCATCATTTCTTATGAAAGAAGAGTTCACTCACTTCAATTCTATAGTTCTATTAGGCAAGTTTTAATGTTTTGTTTTTTAAAAGGAAGAAGTTCTAACTATTTTGAAAAAGGGTATTTAAATCTTACAGATGACAAGGAGCTATGACCAGCCCATGAGATTTTCTAGGTTATGAGATCCTCTATATATAGAGGATAAAGGAGGGCATTCATTATCTTATAGAAACATTATCTTCTTCATATTGAGTCATTCTCTCTAGATTTATATTGATATGGAATATTATCCATCACTTACTATATTTTAACTTTATCTATATCTTGTTTCTGTGAAGAGCAGTTTGCCATTTTTTTTAAACATTACACTTGATCAATAGTCAATACATGGAATAATTATTAATTGAGTGCACAAAATATAATATACCTTCTTAATCCTAATGAGTTTTACAATTACAATAATGATGTCCCATGTGGTTGACGGTTACACCTGTAAAGTGTAAACTGAAGTGATAAGAAGATGCGTTACACGTTTTATTACAATAATAATAATTACCTAATGATTTTTTGTTTGTCGTCTTTTTGTTTTATTTCGGCGGTCAAAGATACAAAAATATACGACTTTTTTTGGAGTGTTGTGAATTGTATGTAGCAGAAAAATGTTGCTATTACCATCCACGTTTTGTTTTGAAAAAAATGATTTGTAGTAAAAGTTGATAGCATGAAAAACATTAATTTTGAAAAGTAAGAGTTGATGTTTGGTAAACTATGTGCTTTTTGTGTAATAGAAAAAGTATAAAAAAGTTTTCAGCTAAAACCCAAGAAACGCTTTTTAAATAAAATTTGTCATTTGAAAGTTGAAAACACTGATTTTAACATTTTTAAGCCAAGTTTGAAAAGTACTTTTTTTAAGTGTTTACAAACGAATCCTTATGCTTTGATGCGGGTCCAAATAAGATCTTAAAGAATCTCGTAAGAATTACTTTAATGTAATTTCTAGAATCTATTTCTATAACATATTCTTTATTTACATTTACTGATTAAGGGATATAATGATTTGAAAAATGTAGCAAGCAAGCATGTTAACATATACTCCCTATTTTATTAACAATACTAGTTCGTATGTATTTACTCCTCTCCAAAACACTTATCCCTATTTAGTTTTTAGCATAGACGTATCACTTTTGAAAATAATGTGTCCATAAAACAAATACACTACACCTTAAAAAACATACCCCGTATCATATACTGTTACATTATAATTGACACCCCTCTTTCGAATATCAAAAAATCTATTTGTACACGTTCTCTTATACACGTTGTTACACACTTGTCTGTGGCAGACCATTTTTTTATCTGTGAACGAGATCCACAGACAAAACTTGTGTGTTTTGTCTGTGGATATTTTTTTGTCTGTGACAGACAAAACACGACAATTCACAGAAAAAAAATGACTTATCACAGACAAGTGTATAAGAACGTGTACAAATAGAATTGTTTTTCGAACTTGTACTTCAATTTGTTCATTTTCATTAGCATATCATTCACGCGACATAATGATTTCATCCTTGTTGAATCTTAGTCTAACATATATGGATTTCGGATTCTATTGATAAATATTGTCTTGTTTGAAAAAAAAGATTGTCTTAACCTCAACAATTACTTCAATTGTACAAATCCTTAAACTATTTCAATTTGTTATCATGCCCGTAAATGTGCATTTAATTTTTCTAGTGGTTTAAGACTTTAAGTCATTAAATTAAATTGTCGAAATGTTGACTCTTAGTTCTAAAGTTATTCTTGATAACTTAAAACTTTAATTCCCACATGTAATTGCATCTCATATTATACTCAAATCCATATAATCGTTTCCTAAACTCAAGTAGTTATTTGATCGTTGTGGTAAAAATGCACAAAAAAGTATCATTATTAAGATGAAACACATCAGATTAAAAACACTTAACCCTTTGCCATTACATTATTTTTCGATAGAAATAGATCATTCATAATAAATGATGATATAATCATATACTACCTCCTTCTTTGACATAGTTTGATTTGTCAAGAATTAAGTAAAAAATGTTACTCAAGGATAAATTTTACTGTAAAGTACACTGTTTGACATTGTAGCAACACTGTTTGACATTGTAGCAACACTGTTTGACACTGTTTAAACACTATTTGACACTGTTTGACACTGTTTTGGTAAAGATTTGTTTACCAAATAAAGAAATAAGGAAGTGTGACATTCATTTTGAAACATCCAAAAAATGAAAGTGTGTCAAAGAAACGGAAAAGTAGGGAGTAATATGATACGAGTATAAAAATGTCAAGAAGATTTGAACACGTACATGCATTCTGCTTCAATTGCAATTTTTTATTAGAAGAGTATATGATATAATTAGAGCATCTCCAATGCTACAATGTGCACGTGCACACGTGACATTTGAGATAACCACATAAATCTTAATGAATAAATTATATATCTCCTTATTTAAATGATTTTATACAATTTTGATACGTTTTTCTCTGCAATGTCATGAAGATCGTCTAAATGTAGACATTGTAGTTGACATTATTAAAAAAATTACCAAAATTGAATAAAATAATTCAAATAAAGAGAGAGATAATTTATTTATCAAACTTTGTGTGGTCATCTTTCATGTCACATTTGCACCGTGCACATTTTAGCATTGGATACATCTCTCTTATAGTCTAATAAAAGTGCAATAAATATTCCATACATCTCTCTGGCCAGGCCCTGGATGCTCCTCAATCGGTGGGGGCGCCTTTACGGAGCTCGGTCCCTTTTTTCCGTCAGGTGATGGTCGTGGTCTTCGCAGGAACTCAAAATCTTGGAACAAAGGTCAATTTTTATTTTTATCATTATTGATTTATTGTTCATGTGCTCTTCAAATTATTAATACGGAGTATGATGTTTTGAAATTGAAAATAATAATTCCAACTATTAGCGGACCGTTGACAATAATCCCAATTATTGATTATTTTTAGAAAAAATTGAAAATAATAATCCCAACTATTGCTGGTCCGCTAATAATAATCCCAACTATTGATTATTATTGTATAATCCCAACTATATGGACCGTCCGTCAATAATAGTCCATAACCGCATATTACCTGTTCTAAAAAGTGAATTTTTAATAGAAATTAAGCGTAAAAATTAAAATTCAGGATTATTTATAGGAATTATCTGCTATATTTCTTTAGAAACTATAGGAATTTATTTATAGTCGGTCATCTCAGACCATTATTGGCGGAAGGACTCTAAAGTTAGGATTATTCTGAAATAATCGATAGTTGGGATTATTAAAAGCGGACCGCTAATAGTTGAGATTATTACAATCAATTTTTCCTTATTTTTATCTAATCCCAACTATATGGACCGTCCGCCAATAATGGTTCATGACCGCATATTACCTGCTCTAACAAGTGGATTTTTAATAGAAATTAAACGTAAAAATTAAAATTTGGAATTATTTATAGGGATTACCTGCTATATCTCTTTAGAAACTATAGGAATTTATTTATAACCGGTCACGTCGGATCATTATTGGCGGAAGGTCCCTAAAGTTGGAATATATTGTTCTGAAATAATCCATAGTTGGGATTATTATGAGCGGACCACCAATATTTGGAATTATTACAATCAAATTTTTCTTGTTCTTATTGTTATTTATATTATTATGTTTTGTTCTTCTTGTTATATTTTGTACGGTTTTGGCGTTTGCTTTTAAAACATACAATTATGCTTGAAATATAAATTGATGTTGGATATATGTTTATCGCTTAATCAGTGTTTCCCAAATGACATGGTTTCTTATAAAGCTCAAATTATTCTATTTCATGGTAGCATTACTCTACTATGAAACTTGTAACCGTGTGTAATTCTAGAGATTGGTAGTGATAAGAATAAACTTGATTGCATAATGTACATACATAAATAAAAAATGTATATGGATTATTAATCTTAAAAATAAGACTTATATAATCAAGAGTTGTTCACTTAGATTTAGTTCCTTCTCATGCGGTATTGGATCAAACCAAACTATAGTAGACATAAACATGATATCATATGAGACCCGAGTCACCCGACTATTCTTAGATAAAACTACGTATTAGAATGCACATGATATCATACCTTATCAGAACGATTAGTTTAGACTAGACAAAGTTTAATTAGACCACTCCAGACTAAGTCACACTTACACAAATAAAATGAGATCATTTCAAATCAGATCAAACCAAACTGAAAATTAATATTGATTCAAGTCCTTGATTACTCCAATCAATTTGTGTAATTCAATATCGTACATCGATTAATCACTTTTGGTTTGTTTGGTTGATGATGATAAATTTTAACTTTTGTGAAGTGTAGCGTTGCTATTTGCTAATATGTACTCGATCTGCATCCAAATGTGTAGATCTAAACTATATTAAGAGATATTTAGAACAATTTTACAATTTTAGCGTTTTGTTGTGTCATTTTTCATAAAAAGATAATTCAAAATAGGCATGCCAAATCAAAACATAATAAGAGATAATTTGGAAAATAAACAAAAGGCTTGTGGAGTTCACAATTCACTTGGAAAAAGAACAATAATCTCATCATATTTCTAATCTATTCTGTTTAAGTATGGTGTAATTTGTCTGTTTAACTATGGTCTAATTTACTTGAACTGTAATTCGTCCCAGACCAGACCAGACCAGACTTGACCAGACTTGGATAGTTATAAAAATACAAAGAAATCAGTCCAAATCAGCAAATTACAGTCTAAGTAAAAACATTCCTAGTCTAATCTGATCATATGATACTTAAACCAATCTAATTAAAATCAGCTCAAAGTCACCAATATGGTGAATTTGAGGATAATCCTGTAGAAACGGATGAGTATTTGGTTTTGTAACATTATTAGTTATGATTGTATTTGTACTATTTTAACTATGCAGCATCGAACCTTCTATTTGTTGAGGCCCCGGCAGGAGTAGGATGGTCATACTCAAATACGACCAGTGATTATACTTGTGGGGATGACAGCACAGGTATATAAAAGTACTCCTTCGTCAATTTTGGATGGGATTTTCACGGTGGGTCATCCGGAAATAGTCTTTCTGTACTTTAGTACAGGGGTAAGACTACGTACATCCGACCCCCCTTGCCTCAATGGGGTAAATGAAAATGAAAAATGATACTCTCTCCGTCCCCCTAATATTGGTATGGAAGGGAGTGGTGTGGTTTTTAAGAAAACTAGAATTATGAGATTGGTAATGAGTTGATAAAGTGGAAATAAAGTAAGAATGAGTTATAGCCACACAAATGTTACCAAATATAGTATGAGATAATAATAAAGGGACATCCAAAAATGAAAAAATGAGACAATTATAGGGGGAAGGAGAGAGTAGTTTTTATGATTACAATTATGACTATGCCCTTTTTCTTTTGTTAATTTGCAGCTCGTGATATGCTTATATTTATGCAAAAATGGTATGAAAAATTCCCAGCATTTGTGGACAGACCATTGTTTCTCACCGGCGAAAGCTATGCAGGTAGATATGCATCCAACATTCTGTTTTATCGACTAAATAAATATATACCGAGTAAAATGAAAACAATGTTTGACCATTACATGTTTTGGTCTTTTATAGGACATTACATTCCACAATTAGCAAGTCTTATGATAGATCACAACAAAGATTTCAAGGGGCAGCAATTTCAAATTAAAGGTGTTGCGGTAAGCACTTAAAACACGAGAAAATATATGGAACACGTCAACGTGTTAACTACGTACGGAGCGCGTTCACGTGATGAATGTTTAGGATTCATTCATCTAAAGCATTTGCAAAATCATGGTCATTCATCGCCTCAAAATGCTCCATATAGTTTCTCGCGATAACACACAACACACAACACACCCTAAATGAGATATTGATCGTCTAATATAATAAACCAATCAAACTATAACCGAATTAGACTCTCATACCATATTAACTCTTGCTATTTCATCTTAAAGTCAATTTCATTCGGTGACTAGTTCATGATCTTATATGTTGGTTTAATAAATTATATTTGTAGTCCTTAAACCAAACACTTTAGAATTAAGATAACAGTATGTAGTCTATGATCAATTTGTGCTATATATTGATATTGTGTTACTATTATTATGAATTATTAACAGCTAGGTAATCCCCTAGTGAAAATAGACAGAGATGTGCCGGCGGTGACAGAGTTCTTCTGGTCTCACGGAATGATTTCGGATGAAAACTATAACGCCATCAAGAGGGAATGTGATTTCGATGACTACAGTTTCATCTATCCACACAATGAATCTGATCCCTGCAATGCAGCGATCACTGAACAATACCGCGTCATTACTCATTATATCAATGTTTACGACGTCATTCTTGATGTCTGTTACCCTTCCATTGTTCAGCAAGAGCTCATTCTTAACAAAGTGGTATGTATGTATTTAATACATTCAGCAAGGGCTTGTGAATTACTATGATACATGTATAGGCCAACTGATAAGATGAGTAGTCTAAAATCTTACGGGGTATATAATACACTCCATATTTTACTAGTGCGCGAAATATTTTGAGATGAACTTGACATTCAATCATGATATGGAGCATATTGTATTAATTTATGTATAAATGTAGGTTACTAAGATGAGTATGGAAGTAGATGTGTGTATAACAGCAGAGAGGAGCTTCTATCTCAACCTTCCAGAAGTTCAAAAGGCCCTTCATGCAAATCGAACCAAATTGCCCTATCAATGGCAAACATGTGCTGACTTGTAAGTATATATTTGCCACTACATTTGCATTTCTTCCCTGTGAAAATCAGTTCTCTTTTCCAGATTGTATGTTAAAATCTGTTGATCCGCACAGCTAGGTATTGACAAAATACTAAGATACGGAGTAGTATGTTACTCCCTCCGTCCCCTTAATATCGATACGGAAGGGAGTGGTGTGGTTTTTAAGAAAAGTAGAATTATGTGGTTGGTAATGGGTTGATAAAGTGAAAATAAAGTAAGAATGAATTAAAGCCACACAAATGTTACCAAATATGGTATGAGACAATAATAAAGGGACATCCAAAAAAGAAAAAATGGGACAATTATAGGGGGACGGAGGGAGTATATCCTTAAATGTTGATGTAGTTCTGTAACATGCATATGTTTTACATTTTTACTTGGTAACTTTGTTCAGCACATTGTATACAACGAATATAATTATTACTCCCTCCGTCCCACAAAGAACATCCCGCTTTCCTTTTTTAGCAGTCCCAAAAAGAAGTTCACATTTCCCTAAATGGGAAGTTATCTACATCAAAACAATGCCAAACAGTGTCAAACAGTGCCAAACAGTGACGAAACAGTGTCAAAACAGAAAAATTTACCCCCTGGTTAGTTTATTTCCTTAATATGTGTGTAGGTCAAACCGGGAAGTTCTTTGTGGGACGGAGGGAGTAATATATTTTCCCAAGTACAAGATGTTTTCTTTTGGACTGTTTTCAGTCCCAGCCAAGATCAAACTTAAATAAATCAGACCAGATTTAAAAATACCAGACTAGAATACACTTGGATCGTTATAAACACTACTACATTTTTAGACCTAATGTAACATTAATGATGTAACATATCTATAATAGTGTTACCTATTTCTCTAATGTAACACTTTTTAGATCTAGTGTAACACTTTCTAGAAGTATAAGTGTTACATTAGGTACTATAAAGTGTTAGAATAGGTCAAATGCAACACCAACAAATGTAATGGTAAAACAATGTTACATTTTCTCTGAAAAGTGTTACATTAGAGAAAATGTAACATTTTTTTACCATTACATTTGCTGGTGTTGCATTTGACCTATTGTAACACTTTATAGTACCTAATGTAACACTTATATTTCTAGAAAGTGTTACACTAGGTCTAAAAAGTGTTGCATTAGAGAAATAGGTAACACTATTATAGATATGTTACATCTCTAATGTTACATTAGGTCTAAAAATGTAGTAGTGTAAAATACACATAGGCCATACATTTATCAGACCAGATCAGACTTCAATAGATCGGATAGATTAGACTATATCACCAAATTTGGGTAAAAAATGGCCTTACTTTTGGCTAGACATTTCATATAGCTGTTCCATGAAATTTCCACCACAAGTTATATATTCGATTGGAAAAGTCTTATATGTACATGAAAAAACTTAATTGTTACAACTACAAGACTAACATTTGCCTAATCATAAGAAATACGTATAAAGCTAAATCATTAAATCATCCTGCTGGATTTTCTTTTCAATAGATCTTCCTTAGACTTGTCTCATATCAAATTGGTAAAGTTCGTGTGATTATAAATCATTCCAACTTGATTCTTACATTATCAATTTAGGGGTGTTTGGAACTGATTCTGTTTCTGCTTCTTTTTTATAGCAGAATCAGAACAGATTCCAGAAACCGGTCCCCCAACTTCTTAAAAAACTGTTTCTAGGAGAGAATTAGAGCACGAGAAGTATTTCTGCACCATCACCTAAACATCCCAACTTCTGTTTATGTTCCCTGAAAGATCAGAAACAGTTTAAGAATCAGATTCAAACACTCCCTTAATATCAATTACATGAAATCAATTTTCTTAGTGAGACGGAGGTAGGATTTGATTTCAAGACCGCTTTGGATTTGTTACATTGTATTTATGGGATGGTTGCAGTGCTATGTTGAACTACAGCCAGATAGATGGTGACGTGAATGTGGTTCCATTGCTTAAAAAAATACTGCAAAACAAAATCCCTCTTTGGATATTCAGGTAAATTAATTGGTTATGCTACACATCTTTATTGGTTTATCCTCTCAAAACAAAATAGTAGCTCTAGATTTAGGAAAATGCTTAGTGTACATGATGAGTTGTACATAAACTGTACACAAAACGCTCCAGTTGTCTGTGTACACTTGCAATTCATTTAGAAAATGCGCAGAATTTGATACCCAATTGCCTCTATACACATGCAATGTACACATTTTGTGTACATCTTGTGTACACCAAGCATGGCCCCTAGATTTATTACAAGCGTAAATAACCCGCACAGGTAGCTCAGTTGGTCGAGTGGTGGGAGATTTGGATCAATGGACCAAGGTTCGAATCCCCGCAGCGACCGGGTGGAGGTCATAGAACCTGAAATAAGGTTGGGCCTCTGGTGCGCACGGGTGTATGGGCCTACTGCCATTCTGCTGATTGAGTCACCGTGACTAACCTCCCCACAATCCTGTTGGGTCAGGGTGGGGGGCTTCTGGGGAGGGAGATTCCACCTTTTGGATCAACTATTACAAGCGTAAATAGAATGTTGTATTCTTTTTTGTGTCATTGAAATCATTGCTGAACGATTTGTACAGCGGGGATCAAGATTCAGTGGTACCCCTGGTGGGGTCAAGAACGGTCGTACGCGAGTTAGCCGCCGAGCTGAACATGAACATCACCGTCCCTTACAGCGTATGGTACCACAAAGGCCAAGTACGTTACCATTTAATCCACCCTCTTCTCCCGATTTTATTTAATTTTGGTATTGAACCATGCACCATGATTAAATATTTAAATGTGTACTTTACATTATATATTTGTAGAGAATTAGGATTTTTAAGGGATATTTTGACTTTGCACCCCGTTTTTTGGGTGATATTGAACTTTGCACCTTATTTTTAAAACTCTTAAACTTTACACCATGTATCACCTAAAATATCCTTGTCTTTGTACCCCATTCAGAAATTTTTCTTCACAAAATGATGTAGATAGGGTGCAAAGTCTAAAATTTTTGAAAATGGGATGCAAAGTCTAATATCACCCAAAAAGTGAGTTGCAAACTCAAAATTCCCCCTTTTTAATTGGGTTGAAACTATGCAATCTTGTATGGCTTATTTGTTTAATCATTGTCGGGTCTAGTTGTTGTATGTGTATTTTACTATTGTTCATGTCTCATCTTTTCATGTATACCGGTTTGATCAATCTATTTGATTTTAGTTTATTAAAAGCTTCCTTAGCCCCAATTGTGGAGCAATTTGTTTTTCCTCTGACCATAAATTTGTGATCTACAGTGATTGAACCTGATCTGTTTAAATCTTGTCTGAACTAATATGTTTTAGTCTAGTAAAAGTCTAATGCTCCGTTCATATTATGTATGATTTACTATTGTCCAAGTCTAATCTTATCGGTTTAAGTCTATTACTCTAGTCGAATTTGACCTCTAGGCTCTTTTGAGCTGAAACTAGACAAGTTGAAAACATCTCAACTATATTGAAGCTTTCGTTACTACACTAGGTTGAAGCGGTTGTCATGGACAATTACTATATATATGTAAATTAGAATCTCTCCCTTCGAAATATGTCATGCTTGGCATTCACGTCAAACAAGAATGTAAAATTTGTATGATTGAAGCCTGCGAAAAGGAGTGAGTTATTAACATGAACTAGAACTAGTACTTTAAAACTAAATGACCATATTTTGAGAAAATATGGTCAAGCAATTTTATTTGTGCTTCCATATATTATTAGTTGATCTGTGGGTTAAGAGTTGAACAACTTTAACTATTTGGCTGTAGATTTTCTTATAGGGGCTCCTAATTTAGAAGGCCTATATTTTTTACTATGCAAAATCAATGCTTATTTTTAAGCACGATGCTCATTTGCTCTCAAGTCTCATCTAATGGGGACTCCATGTCTTACAATCTTTTCAGCTGAGCCCCACACTGTAAACATATAACTGGGAAAGTTGGGAAACATTTTTTTTTAAATTGTGGACAAAATTAAGAAAAAAAAAGGTCTAATTGTACAAAATTAATAGAAGAAAAATGAATGGGAAATACGTGCAGGTTGGAGGGTGGCAGACTGAATATGGAAACTTGTTGACATTTGCGACGGTGAGAGGGGCGGCTCACATGGTGCCATATGCTCAGCCGGGAAGAGCTTTACATCTCTTCAGCTCATTCATCCGAGGAAGAAGGCTGCCCAATTCTACCTCCATTCCTATAGACCATCAAGAATATTATTGGTTGTGATTTGTGAATGTAAAAGTACTCTAATGGAACGTTTTGTTTGGTTTGGTTCGATTCGGCCGCGCATGTACATGAAACATCAGAACGAGAGTAACGTTAATTTTGTGACATTAAAATTAATTAATACTCCGTAATATTCTTTATAGTTTTCTATGTTATTGCGATCTTTTAAATATCGACAATATGCAAAATGTTTAATTTTGGACATTGCACTTGGTATCATTGACATGTTGTAGACACAGAATTACTAAAAGTTTGAGAAACCGGAACAATAGAATAATTTATTTTGTCATGCGTGCATCGTGTTCATTGTTAAATAATGTTCAACATATTATTTGTAAACATTTATACCAACACCGTATATTATTAGTTAGAGAGAATTCCCCAAATAGGAGTAAAACATAGGCAAAATGTAAAAATAGGATACCATGTTTTGAATAGGAGTAACTTTAGTGTTTGGACAAGTATACCCCTACTCAAGCTCCAAATCCCAACAACTTTCATTAATAATTAAAACATAAAAGAAATACTCCATAAGATTAATTAATTTATAATAAAATTGTAAAAAAAAACACAAAAAAATTCAAATAAAATATACTCCGTATTAAATAAAATAAAAATTATTAAAATAAAAAAATAAAAAAATAAAAAAATAAAAAAATAAAAAAATAAAAAAATAAAAAAATAAAAAAATAAAAAAATAAAAAATAAAAAAATAAAAAAATAAAAAAATAAAAAAATAAAAAATTTTAAAAAATAAAAAATGAAAAAAATATAAAAAAAGTTTGTAGGCGTTTGTCGCCACCTCAACAACCTCCCAGCACCACCAGCTCCGATCACCGAAAAAATGCCAACATTTTCCCGAAATGCCATCAAGATGGCAGATTTTGAGAAAATTTGGCATTTTGAAAGAGTAAAACTGCCATCTTTATGGCATTTTCAAAGAAAAATAACAGTTTTTACATAAAATGGCATTTTTGTCGCCGATCAGAGGTGACATTGCTGGGTGATGACCGAGGCTGCGGGAAAGGCCTGCATAATTTTTTTATATTTTTTAATACCGTTTATCTATTTTTTATTTATTTTTAAAGTTTTTATTTTTGCAAAAATAAGTTTTTTAATATTTTAATATTGTTGGGATGAACATAGATTATTTTAAAAAATAAATGGACTGCATAAAGGTATCGTTTCCAGTGAAGGAAGTTTAAATTTTACTCCTATTGAAGGAAGTTTTAAATTTTACTCCTATTTGTGCAATTATGTTTATGTTTACTCCTATATCGGGCAATTTTTACTATTAGTTACAGTCATCAATTATGTTGATAGTTTTTTGTCCCTCAAATTTTTGACTTAATGGAATTAAGTCCTATAGAATGACATGAATAAAAAATATATCTTCTTTAGCTTTAGAAGAAAATAACGATAATTCTATTTTATTTTATTTATCTCTTTTTTCCTTCTTATAGTTTTTAATTTGGGTTATTTTGAGTTTGCACTCCACTTTATTGTCGAAATTAGACTTTGCACCTTGTTTTTTAAATCTTTAGTATTTGCACCCTAACCCCGTATGAAAAGACTAAAATGCCCCCCAATTGACAATTTTGTTGACCTTCAACATATTTCTGATCGAGGGGCAGTTTTGTCTTTTCATATGGGGTTGGGGTGCAAATACTAATGATTTCAAAAACGGGGTGCAAAGTCTAATTTGGATAATAAAATGGGGTGCAAACTCAAATTATCCCTTTTAATTTTTATGTCATATCGCTTTTCGATAATCTTTTTATTCTTGCTGAAAGATTAAATAAAATCAACTCATATAAGATAGGGAGATTTCAACAAGTAGGAGCAAAACGTACGGATTTTCCAAAACTAAGACCGAAAATTAGCGTAAGACTCAACTACACATGCATTGGCCACAATACCCTTACTTTTAGAAAATAGCAGACATTAAATAGACAATAAATTAAATAGACAATAAGTAGACAATAAACAAACAATGAAGAAAATTGCTCTCCATAGTATCCTAACCGAACCCATCTTCTCCCGACTCTCTCCCATTTGTCTTTCGCAAATCCAAATCCACGCAGCTTCGTCTTCAGGTCTCCCCCTCCGAATTTAGGTCGCCGCCTCTCCTCCATCTTCCGGTCACCGCCTCTGAGTTGCCGCCTCCACCTCCAGGTCATCGTCCAGTGCACATCTTCTTCTTCTCAATTTCTGTCCGGGATATTGCGATGGAGACAAAGAGTCATGGGTTAAAAGAAGTTTACGACTTCAGATCGACGTTGAAGCTAGTGTTTTTGGAGAAGGTGGTGGTCTGATGGGACTGGGGGAAGGATGTAGCGGTGATGTGCGGCGATTGCAGGGTGATACAGTGCCGGTGTGGGGGGCTATGGTTGTTCAAGGGCTGGGGTTGGGAATGGGGCTGCCGAGGCGGCGGGGCTCATCGCCAGGCAAGGGCAATGATGTGCAATGATTGGGGGCTGAATATGGTGGTGGGATGTGAGGTTGGGAGAGATAGATTGTGGCAGAGGAGAATTGCAGAGGGCGAGTGCAGGGGGATAACGGGAAGGGTAAAAATGGAAGACAAGAATAAAGTTTCCTAAAACGGTGCTAAATAGATCCTACGCATGGAAAAAACATAGCTTAATTCTACTTTTGTAAAGTTCCTTTGATTTGATCCTATGGAGAGCAATTTTCTCTATAAGATATCTATATATTTGTAATGAGATAAATTAGAAATTAAGCCGTACTAGCTCCCCTCCCCTCAAATTTCCAATTCAATCAAACAAAAAATTCACAACCATTGTCACTTTGGTTCTCTTCAATAAAGAAAAAATTAACACAGAATTCTCCCATCTACCCTTCCCATATATGTTCTGATGAAAATTTATTACGCTAAATAGAGTAAACAAAAAAAAGTTCTTTTCAAACACCAATAGAGGCAATATATATTAATCCATTGTTATATTTATGTATACTAATTCCAAATCCACTCTCACCATCAAGATATCTCATTTTCAATTCTTATTTTCGATGTACTTTACTCTAGGAATGATATGAGTAGTGTTTTTAATTTCACGAATATGATTCATTTTTATTTTTTTCCAAAAAAGTGACACTATATTATTACTACCAGACCAGACCAGTTCAGACCAGACCAGACTTGAATAGTTATAAAAATACAAAAAAACCAGACCAGACCAGTTCGGACCAAACTAGACTAGACCAAACCAGACCAGCAAATTAAACCAGACCAGCCCAACAAATTACAGTCCAAGTAAAACCATCCTAATCACGTCACTCATCATATTTACGATTTCGTTAATGACTTGGTCCAAATTAAATTAGTAACTGAGTAACTCCATCCAAATTATTTTAATTTGGTCCACATAATATGTTGTGTTGTAAACTTTTTACGATCTAGAGTAAACAAAAAAGTTCTTTCCTAACACCAATATCATAAAGACAATATATGTCGTCATTTCATTATTACGAATGTACACTATTTTCAAGTCTCATTTTGGGTGTATATTCGAGGAAAAATGGCACATAATGTATTACCAACATTTTCAATTCCAAAAATATGACATATTTTGTTTTTTCCGATAAGGATCATGGATCAAATTTAAATATCTAGTCAAGTTTTTTTACTGTATTATTATAGTCATGTTTTTGTGTTTATCTCAACTTTTTTAGTTTGGTTATTTACTTCAATTTCTTTTTGATTTATTAAGGTGTTGGGATATTAGGTTCAGGCTCAGTACATGCCCAAATACTCAAGGAGGCTCAATCTGCGTACAAGCCCACCGGCAACCAGCCAGCTCGGGAATGACTTTCGACGGTCGTGCACGAGCAATGCTGCATGCTCGGTACATTCCCTTCACTTGGCCTTCTCTACTAGATCCCGCAGCCATTCAAGACAAAGCCCCCTCAGACAGTTAGCGGGAAACATATGAATTGGTGATAAGCACATTTAATACATCAAATATGGGAGATTTGGTAGTTGAGGGTTCATTCACTCGGGGTTGAACACATCACCCTCACCTATCTTCCAATATAAATAGAAACATTTATTTAATTGTAAAAGATTGTCAACTTTGTATTCTTAGCATTTGACCCCTCTCTAGTTTCTTAGGTAGCATTCAGCCTGATCGGCATTGTGTCGTAATCGTTCTAAAAAACTTCAATAAAACTAGATTCACTTTGTTTCTAATTATTTACCTTGTTTTTACTATTTCTTGCCTCAAACACTTGCTAAACCAACTTATAACGGAGAAACCCCTACAAAAGTCAAAGGACCGTGTTGGACTTTTGAACCTCTAGGAATAAAACTCGACATAGGGTTTTTGGTCTGAGGAAACCATAATATTTATTTTGGAAGCATCTCCAAAACGTTTGTTGTTTACAAGTCACGACATTTTTTCTGTTTTATTCAGAAGAAAGTTTTAGAGGAACAATAGTTTTAAATTTTAATTTGTAAACAATACCACACTGGGTCACTGGCAAAAAAAAGTCAGAAAACTAGAAATATAAAAAGCTCATATTGCAGGTTTCTTAGTTTGTTTGTAATTTAATTTTAGAAGTAAAATCCAAAACATCTCATTAAATTAATTGTTTGGTGGTACATATATCTCCACCAAAACTTACCAGAAATATAAATATTACAAACCGCCTCGTACACATCAATATTGATATGGATCATTTTTGTTAGTGAGCTTTGATATCATCTCCTACAAATCAAAATCGTATGACTCACTTTCGAAATGGCTTCCAATATAAAGTAGCATTTATTGAATTATGAAAAATTAGATAGTTTCTTATTATCCTAAATAGATCGATGTCGTGGGCTCGTGGCGTATTATTCAGATATTAATGTGCACAAAAATGTAGCAAAAGATAAACCAAACATGTCATACACGTCCGTGCACTAATCGTTATGTACAGCATTACACGAGTATAAAATTGTGAGTTGTTTGACTACTAAGTGGGTGTTTGGAACCGATTCTGATTCTGCTTCTTTTTTAAAGCAGAAGCAGAACCAGAATCAGTTTTCAGAAGCTGGTCACCCCCAGCTTCTAAAA